GAGAAAACGATTGCGAAGGTGGAATATAGAGCGAAAGCACTGTAAATTTTATATTTAACATTATTTGTATCGCTACGGCTTGTATATTTGAGCTTAAATTTATGCGTTTGTGAGGTATACTTGATTTTATAAAAACACCTACTCCTTGTTTGGAATATGAGTTTTAATCAGCATTCGTGAAATATCCAGTACATGATTTGTGTGGAATAGGATTATAAGAGCTTCTACATCGGGTTTCTTGAAGCGATAAAAAAGTTGGATTAAAATCACTTATGAGTGTACGGAGTTCATCAAAATTATTAATAAGTCCCTTAATGTTCCATTGTAGAATTTTAAAAACTTTATTTAATTGTAATGACATGTAAGCAGAGTGGAGGGAGGGTTAAGTTGACATGTCAGCGTCTCCGTCGAGAAGGTCGCTATAGGAATTTTTCGTGAATGATTTATTCTTACCAGCAGAATAATCTGTATTTAGGTGATTTGGTGCATTTGAAGCGCAACGGGTTGGCGCACGTGAATAATTTGAAATTGAAGGTTGATTAATGGATGAAAGAATGGGTTCATTACCACTTGTGATTTGTTGAGTAAAGTTGATAGCTGGAGATTCTGGAGAATTTGGTATATTAGATTTTAGCATATGTATTGTTGTTTTAGTTTTTTCAATATTTGCAGTTGCTTTGGTTTTTGAAGGTTGATAAATGGATGAAAGAATGGATTCATTACCACATGTGATTTGTTGAGTAAAGTTGAGAGCTGGAGATTCTGGAGAATTTGGTATATTAGATTTTAGCATATATGTTGTTGTTTTAATTTTTTCAATATTTGCAGTTCCTTTGGTTTTTTCAATATTATCTTTGGCAAGTGATGTAACTGGTTTCGCAATATAATTTTTGGTTAATGGTGGAACAGGTTTTTCATTGGAAGCAGTTGCAGTTAAAGTCTTACTAGGCTCGATTTGCGAGGCAACAGCAGCATAGGTATTACTTTTGCCAATTCCATGGGCTACAGATGGATTTCTTACCCGGTATGTGCGTCGCGCTTCGCCCATGCTACAGTAATTTTCTGTTTTGATTTTTAATATTTCGCGCATCTGTACAAAACGTGGGCATTGTTTGTCTAACGCTGAGTGTTGATCATTGCAATTTATGCAGAAACTACGGGTACAGCTTTCAGTATGTGGAGGATGACCACAGTTAGCACAAGATGCAGCATTAGTGCATCTTTTTGCCGTATGACCCAGGCGTTGGCAATTTTTACACCTCATAGGATTTGGGATGTATAGTTCTACTTTACATTTATACCACGCCACATCAACTGTTCGCGGTAATCGGTAGCGATCAAAAGTTAAAATAATCCTTCCTGTAGGAGAGCGTGTTTTTCCGTCATGATTTAGTTTGGTGAATTTATATATTTCAGTCACTCGAGATGGAGTCGATGTATGTTGTAATGCTATCTAGAGCTTTTTTTATAGCAAACGGGCTAATTTGGGAAATAGTTATTCGAGCATCGGTTGAAGAAATAACAATATATTTTTTATCAATAGGGGTTATATCGGTGATTGGCAACAACAGAAAATCGGAATTTTTACTTTTTTTTCTTTGGGGGGATGTATCACTCAATAGATGGAATCTATTCGAGTTTTTGTCTGGTGGCCCCGGGGCCATTATGCCTTATTGTTGTCTATTGCTTATTATTTTTGAAATAACCACTCACTTCAAATGGTTTGGGAAACTACTGAATAAAAAGTCAGATGTTTTTAGTTCTTTTTTTTTTTTTTTTTTTTTTTTAATGTATTTAAAGGAAAACACGTACGATATCCGCGATGAACACTTTTCGCAATAAGCACACAGAAAGTTCAATCGATTATAATAAGTTTGAGAACTTTTAAAAATGTATAACGCAATAAAGAAATTAAATTGCAAAAATTTTTCCACAAAGAGAAAAATGTGAGTATATAATATAAACATATATAATAATTTTTTTTTGTTTACTTGATTCATTTTTTTCATACTTTGAACGTTCAAAAAGAAGCCATGTTTTAAATATATATGCAGGACTTTTCTATACTCTTAACAAATATTTTTTTTCTTTTCATCTTTTCGTAAATATTAAAAATGCAATAAAATCTTTATTTAAAATGTAGACTAAAAGGACGCATCTTCAGGATCTCCCATAAAAAATCATGGACCGAAGGAAATCATAGGTAGAGCAGGTTCCCCATGCAGGTAATAAGTTTTGATCGTCCGTCTGTCTACTTAAGGGTTTTCATGCACGTGTATTTCTTGAGTGTAATCGTTTGTGGAGTACTTATTGGAACTAGTTAGCTTACCATGATAGCTACGGTTATCCGTTACAACCACCGAGTCCAGATCTTACGACCTTTTTGACTTCTACAGTTTTATTATACAAAAGGCTTTCATTTCAAATAAATTCAATTTTAAAACGGTTAAAACTTTCATTATTAAGCATAAAACTACGTACGCATCGTATGCATGAATTATAGTAATCAATGACGGCAATCGGTAGTAAACAACGGTGACTGTTGGATCCTCTCTCTAAATTATAGTGACCAATAGCACTATAATCCAATATCATGACAGCAATCTCTTTAACCATATGAAACATCGCCGTGCCAATGTAAATAAGAAAGGAATTTGTACCAGTTGCAAAATATAAATATAAAATTTTTGAAAGTATAATTAAGGAAACTGATAAAAATTGATAACGGCAGGTCAACGAAAGGGTGAAGTAAAGCAAATATGTTGAATCAAAATTATATTTAGCTTAGGGAATATTGGGATGTACTTTTTCCTTCAACACTGATTAGAGGCTAACCATTTCAGTTGATGCCCGAGAAAAATATAAAGGAAAACAAGACACTTAAGGATTTAATCGTTTTTGTATTTGTAATGCATATAAAATACAAATATAGTGAAAGCGCAAATTATATGTTAAAAATAAAGAGACAAAGTATAAGCATAGAAGGTACAATAAATAATTAATATAAATGAATCTTATCCAGAGAGATTTATCGCAAAGATTTATGTATAAAAATGATACTTAAATTAAAATTTTAATAAAACCTTTAAAATGCTTATCTGGAACGAGCGCAAAAATTAAGGCTACCAAGATAAAAAATAATAATTAGCTGAAGTCAACCTCGATCGGTTAGGCAATATAGTTATTGTCACTAACCATATTTCATTTATATTTCAAATCGAAGTTTTATTCAATTTAGTAGTATTGTGGGCTAAGGTCCTTTAGACAAACATCTTTTTCCTGATACATAATATATTAGTAATTTTGCGTTACCCGGAAAACAAATTTATTCTTGTGGGCAAAGTTTTGAGATAGTAATCGGTATCAAAACAAATAAATAGGCAGAGAGATGGACGCTTAACGATGGGTTCCATAATTCAAGCTCGATGATGCATCCTCTTGAGTACTACACATATTTGACAAATTTCATACGTCCGTTGCATCTTTTGCCTGATAAAAAATTTGTTAAGATCATTATAGCTGGCTAGAAATTTTAGACTAAATAAATAAGGAGCAAATGCTTGCAACTTAGTGTTAAGCAGTAAAAAAAAATTGCCTCGTTGACAAGAGAAATAGAAAAGGAGATAAAACTTCTTTCACTAAATTGTAAGAATATCATGAATTTTGGAAACAAAATAAATCCGATAAATTCTATTTCGACGGATCAAATCGATTAAAAAAGGACCCCAACTGGGGTATTAGATCGCCATAGCTTTTATAATACGGAAAAAAATGTAGAAAGACAGATCGTGACATGAGATTGCAAGATTGCGTTCATGAAGAAAATAGCTTAGAATAAACAAATACGAAGAATGAACATATAAAAATTTAGGATTTGGAAGGCGAGTAAATGGCTTAATTTAAGCAAATATATTCTGAATAGGTTAAGGTAAAATTATAAAAGTAATTGTGCGGCAACTTAGAGGATTTGAAATAAGTAGATTTAAAATCCCTGAAAAGAAATTAAAACAAATGAGGGCTAATTACTCAAAGAAAATTATAAAAACTGAAGATCGGTTCTAGATATTATTAGGAATTGTTTTGAATGAAAGTTTTCAGTTCGAATGAAAAACATTATGAGGAAAATAGCTTAATGAAAGCTTAATGTTCTAAATTGAAAGTTTTTCCCAAAATTCCATCGCGTATAACTAAAATATCAAGCACTACAATTCAAAATTTCAATATTCCTGATTTACAATCGAATTATTTAACGCGCTGCAAAGAAAGTAATGAGATTAACTAATTCTTGAGTGATACAAAAAATCGACGACATTTATTGTGTAAGAAAAAAAATTACAACTAAACTCACAACGTGCGAGGAACTTATATGTGTTCAAGCCTATTCTACAATAGTTCATAATCCCAATACCGAAAATTGTTTAAAGGATGGCCCAGTAAATTTGCGAGAATTTATAGATAGAAAAAACCATTTGGTATCAATCGTATCAAGAGCAGTACAAACATATTGCCGAGTAAACGAAGTGTCTCATATTGATCAGGAACAGTTTTTAATGCCCTTTGGTAGGTTTCCTAGATTGAAAGACGAAATCATTTATTAGTGTGTATAAAACTTGTAGAAATTTGAGTTATATAATAAGAATAGAAATTGAAAAAAATTCGCACAATTTTCTATCAAACCCTCTTGCCTACTACGTACTTATCGTTTTACCTTGATAGTGTTTTTCATTGCTGCAATAACTTCAACAAAATTTAAGCAAATCAAGTTTCAAAAAGAGGTGAAAACGAAAATGTGCGAAAAATAGAAGCATATTATTTTAATAAGTAATTTATTTATTTTCCTTTAACATTAAATATTTACATAAAGATGAATGATCGATAACAGATGAGGATGGAATTTCATTTATTTGCAGCCATGAGAAACTGTTCTATTCTATATATAGTAAATTTCTTATGAATCGTGCTTTAAATACATTTTATTTTCGTTTTATTTTTTTTTCGTTTGTTTAATTTAATGCCAGCGCATTTCTCTTACTTTGTTTTTCCTTTTTTCCTAAGTACAATTTAAATAAAGATTTAAGAAATGATAGCAGTTATTAAGAGAACTTTATATTTTAATATCATTGACAACGAGTAGTGGGACTCTCTTGTGGTTTAATGTAATTATAATATTCAGTATTTTAGTAGTGTACTCCATGTCCAGAAAATGATGTGTGCACTACAGCGGGAGCAGCAGCAACAGTTCTTAAATTTAAAAATAGACATTTTTTATGTAAGATATAACATAAATTAAATTTTTGAAAAAAAGATAAAAAAATTCGAACTCACTTGACATAGGCGGGGGCAGCAGCATAATGGGCAGTGTAGGCTGGTGCAGCAGCGTAATGGGCAGTATAGGTTGGTGCGGCGGCATAATGAGCCGTATAGGCTGGTGCGGCGGCCGCATAATGAGCAGCATAACCATGGCTACCAACCAGAGCACCATGTGCTATTAAAAAAATCTCATATTTTAAAATAGCTTGCGAAGAAAAGAAAAACTTATAAAAAAAAAATAGTTCCAAGTTATTTTCTGGGAAAGAGCAATTTCATATCGTTTTATTTCGGATATTTAAGTCGATTGACTGAAGAAAGTTTAGAAAAGTTATGCATTGAAGCCCAGCTGGGATATTCGAAAGCATCGAGCAACTATGTTATTTTCGAGCCGCAGCATACAGGACTGGAACAAATAGCGGACTAATTCGAAAATGACAAACTATGCACAATGGCAGTATTTTGTAAAAAATGCAAGTTCCTATTCATTAACTTGAAACCTACTGAAGAAAACGTATTGTTCCACTTGCAACGATATTAGGTTCGTTCGCGCTGGCCCAGGATTCTATTTCAATTTTTGAAGCTTAAGAGCACAAAGAGCAAAGAAACTTAGGTTAGAAGTTTACGTATACTAAGCTTATATATATAAATTAGTTTATATATTTATCTAGGCTAAGTTTCTTTTAGACATCTTTTTTACGCATTTGTTATTATTACAATCGCTCCAGCTATGAAGGTAGGAATTAGACCCCACATTTTGTCGCACGCTGGCCCAATTTGTCTAAACATGTCAAACTTCGCCAGATAGATAATTGAAACTTGGCATATATATATCTAGTATCTATGTTGTAATAGTTATAACAGAGACTAATATGTACCTTAGCAGCAGTAGTTATTGGAATAAAAATAGTTACAAAGGACCGACCAAAGCGTCCATTACTATTAAAATTATTTACGATAGATGTTTAGGATTCACACTGAAGTGAATATAGTCGACACTAATTTCATAATTAAGATGGGCCATTTCTTTTTTTTATTTACTACTTGCTAAGTGACTGATATTTATTGAATAAAGTTAATTGTGATACTTTTAACCAACTGAACTTTTAAAACTTTCGTGCAGTGCTGTGCAAAAATAATGGTAACTCATGCATACTGTTCCCATTACTGATTCCTGAACCCTTAGAAATGATTAAGAACATTTCAATATCATATCAATATAGCGTATCAGTTGTGGGAGTTTGTTCATTACAAAATTGGGTCGCCATTGCCATTCGAGATTTAAGCCGCCCCGGTCGTATAATATAGATTTTTTTTTTTTTGCGGCTATATCAAAGTCAAGGTCTATGCTGACTGGCTACTAACTTTGAAACATTGATCTGGCTACCGTAGATAAAACACAAGTGGTGTTGAGCAGCGTAATTAATAATTGGAAGCATTGCGTGCGTCAACGTCTTCAAAGCCGTGGTGATTATTTGGAGGATTAGTTTGTTCAAAACATAAATCCAAAGCGTAGCTTGAAATTAACATGATACATTGAATCATTTTTTGTTTTCAAATTTTAAAAAGTTGGTTCAAAACACGTGAGGCGACCATATTTCATCAAAATACCTCAAAAATTGCGATCTATAGTTTGGACACAAGCAAACCCGTCGGACACACGGGCATTCTGACATTCTGACACGGACTTTCTGACTCGATGGGTATAAAGGAAGATGGGTCTATCTTAACCCTTTCGGAGTGTTACACATGTCCGCACAAAGTTATTCTATTATAAGTGGTGCAAGGTATAAAAACTAGAGCGAAGCTATTAATTTTTGGTAACTGGAGGCGCACTGATAGACCGGTTTAGGTAAGTTTCGAACTTTACCTTACCAAAAAAATGAATAAAAACCAAACCAAACTTATTTTCTTAGACAAAATTTTGAACTCGTTATTGTGACTTCAACATATGGACAGTTATCGCGTTAAGGAAGAAAGTTTGTACTTTGGGAGGTCTCCATACTTAGTTCCATTTTTATGTATGCAATTGGTTTTGTATCCCTGCAGATAACGAAAAATATATGTTAAACAGAGACAGTTTTTGTTTTCATCTTCTATTTTATTTGTATTGTGTACGGCGGAAAAAGACAAATATTTCAGTGCTGAAGCTTAAACGCTCTGAATGGCATAAAGGCAACTACAAGTGATTTTGTAGAAAAAATGGCGGTAACAAAAGAGATAAATTTAAAAATGTTGCTTCCTATAAATAAATGCGCAAATGAAATTATTTTAATTTAGTTTAACCTAAAATTTTGGTTAGAAATGAATAAATTAATGATCTTAAAGAATTTGGGTTGAATTGCTTGTAAATATCGTTAGTAACTATAGACCGTTACTGTTGTTTTATATTAATTTCGTAATAAGAAAATTTAAAATCAATTCCAATTAATGAAAAAAGCATTAGGTAGTTAGTTTGATAACGAAACAAATGGCAGGCATGAAAACATGTCAAAGGTCAACACAACCTACCGATAACCGGAGCAGCAGTATATTTGACGGCCGCTACAGCAGGAGCATGTGCTACATAACTGTGGCTAAGCGATGGGGCGGCGGCAGCATAAGTGTAGCCATGAGCGTAGGACGGGACAGCATGGGAAACGGAAATGGCAGGAGCGGCATGAGCAACAGGTGCAGCAACGGCGTGTGCGACAGGCGCGGCAACTACGTGAGCAGTTTAATTTTTTTAATTTGCAAATCATTTTTATGTTAGGTTACCACATTGTGCAGGTTAATTTTTTTATTGATATACGTTAGGGTGAAACATAAATTGAACATGTTTAATGATGTCTATTGTACGTGTTTGTGCTTGCGCTATGTTTAAGTATGTGCTTGGGTTTACTATGTTTGAGCTGGCGTTAGAACTTAGTTGGTATTATTTCTTAACTCACCAGGGGCAGCAGCATAAACATCGTTACTATGACTCGTACGTTGTACATGCGATGATGAGTGTGCTGTTTCTACCGCGGTTGAATATTCCGACTGTGAGTTTTGTCCATAATGACCCTTAACGGTATGCTCTTGCGTTTGTCCGAATGACTCGGCATCAGCGGCAGCAGCCGATATAGCATAGGCAGCCGGACCGCCGGGCATAGCATAAGCACAGGCAATCAAAGCCAATAAAACAAAAATGATCTGTATTCGATTAAAATTATTTCAATATAGGTAAAAAAGAAGCAAAAACATTATAGTCAGCCAAGGCCGACTATTAAATAACTTGTCGTCCGCCCTCATTTATTTTTTTGATAAAATGTTAACGATTGTGCCTTGTGTTCTTTTGAAGGCATACCTTTGATAGAAGCAGTTATATAAGATATAAAAATTCATCTACTTAGTTTAAATTTGATATCGATAATTTTTATATTAATTTTCTACATTACCGACTAACTTTCATCATAAAATATTAAAAATTACACCTTTTTAACAAATAAAGCCTTAATTTTCATAAAAACAGTTACATGATAGCGAGTCAAAAATTCGGTCCATTCGTTTAAAATTTTTTGCAATTACTCACCAATTTTTGTCAAAAATGTCTGAAAATTGTAATTGTTTATACCTAATCAATTTTTTAAATTACGAGGTTATATGAAGTCATAAACCTCCCCTCCCAAAACACTCCAGTATACCAAATTCCCTCGAAATATATCCACAATTGTCACCAGTAAATTGAGTACATGGGCAGGCATCCTCACAGAATTAATATACTCTGGGTACTGAATTTAGTGTAAGGGGTGTAGGGATTAATTATATTCGATTATGGCTGAATCTCTCCTATCCGTCCTCTTTCCCTCAAAAAAAAAAAAAAAAAGCAATAAGATCTATTGAAATCCGTTTTCACCCTTTCATGACCTTTAAACCTATTTCTAATGCCAACTAACCCATGGAAGATTAAGATGCTCAACAGCCGCATGTGCAACCACATATATAACAAAGTTTATCGTCGGATGGGGGTCATCTGATACGATCTGATGAGTGTCACACTAAAGAGTTAGTCGAGCACTATATTATATCCACCATTATAAGATGGGGGTATACTCATTTTGTATTTTTTCATAACGTATGTAATACCCAAACGGAAGCTTCAGAAACCCTATAAAGTATATATATATACTTGATCAGCGTAAAATTCTGAGTTGACTCACTTGTCTGTCCTTCTCTGTGATGTTTTTTATTGGCACTCTTCTGATCGTAAATACAAAGATATCGACTTCACATTTGGTAGAAACATTGGAAGATTTTGCACGCAGGTTGGTATTGAAAATGGATCAAATTGGTCAGAGTAGAAGCTCGCAATGAACCATAAACTGAACACAACTTCGTGTTTCTTAACAAAACTTTGTGGGGTTTTGCTCGTTATTCAGAATTTATAAAAGTTCGGAGGCTGAAATTTTTCGCATTTATTTTACAATGCACTCTTTACCTAAAAAAAATAAAAAATCGGCCGTACCCGCACAAAGTTACAAGTGATTAAATTCTATTTTTTCAGTTTTTTGAGGTTTTATTCTTATTTATCATAAAGCAAACAAAACAGAATGTTTTAAACTATTTTGGACATTCCTCAACTGCAGGCTAATTATCTGTCTGAAAATGGGTTAATTCTAAAATGAATGCGGTAGACACCGCAATTACCTTTTTCTTAATAATATCAGAGATGCGGGTATCAAACAAAAAAACTTGTAGAGAAGATTCAGAAAAGCATAGTGGTAGTGCAAGATTCGGCCCCGGTCGAATGTTACTCTTTTATTTGTTTTTATGTGCAGTAAATTCGATAACACTAGATATTCATTAGAAATTTTTGATATTTGTAATAACTTATATCAAATTTTTCGTGTTCGCAATAAAACTGCTGACTTCTCCTTCTATCATAATTAAAATTAAACTGTGTGTCTTGTCTAGTTGTATTTTTAGAAACTTGTCTATTTCCATAAATCGATAATTCCTACCCAGCCATAGCTTGATACCAATATTTTGGACTAAACTTCCGAACGAATGGCACCGAACGGACTATCTTAAATATTAACTTGAATATCAACTAGTCGAGGGAGATTAACGGTACTGTATCATCATCAACAAATCAATTAAAATCATCATGGGAACTGCATCATCTTTTTTCTCTGCTATCATTCTTATTATGGTTATCAACCTGAAACTTTTATAAAAATTTTGTGTTAAAAGCTCAGATTTGGATATATAGGTCTTGTCATTTACATGTCTGATCTATTCTTCTTTTATATACCAAAAAAAAATAAATAAATAAAAAATTAAAAAAAAATATCAAGTTCGATATATTGCATATATTTTGGCCATTTTGTCACTCGAAAAAGGCGTTTATTGAGAAAAATTGGTACAATCAAAATATTTTTCATTTTGTCTACAGCTTTTTCCTATCCTTTCTTCTTCAGCATTTCGAAACCGTGTGCCATCGACCTGAACAAGTAAGAATCAGAAGGCGCTGGTGAGTACGCTGGGTGAGGCAGATATTTCCATTTTACTATATGTTTAACAACCTTTAAAACGTATGGCCGAAATAGCATTTTCAGTCAACTAGTGTTATAGCCATTTTCTGCCCTTTCGGTTCTTTCCTATAAAATCTGAACATATGCAAACGGTTGATTCTTCGGTTGCTATTCAATACAGACAAGGTGAACGCTTATCACCGGCGGATACACAAACTAACAGGTAGGCGACGCTAGATCGATTTATATATTGATGTCAAGCAGGAATTTGTATATATGGTTATCAAAAAAGTCCTTTTTTTTAAATTGTAATAAAATCTAAATGCTAAAAGATATCAATATGAATTTTCCTTTACTTTTAGATATTGATTCATCGAGTAAAAATTCAACCCTGGAACACCTATGTTTGCCAATTTTTCACATAATCTGCTCTTATTTCACTAATAACACGAAAAATCTTGGCGAGTAGGATCATAAAAAAGGAGACGTGGTTTATTGGAGTAAGTCAATATTCCAAGATAACTTGAAAGTAAAAGGTCCAATAAAGTCATATCGTACAATCTTTGTGGTAAGCTCTTTGGAGATTACACGATCATTGAACTCTTATTCCAATAAATTGACTATGTCATGAAAGGTAGAGCATGTTGCACCGTTTTGTTGAACCCACAAATCGTCCAACACCTACTATCTAAATGTAACGGTGAGTTCATTGTTGTCATAATAATCGACATCGACAATTTCTGTACGCTGTACGCTATATATTGTATTCTACCATTAATGACAACGTTCAAACGCGATATTGAAAAAAAAAAATGGCTCAAATCGCAATCAAAAATGTGTTTGATTTAGGTTCATTTTCGAAATTACAGCAGATATGATTCTATATATACTATAGAATAATAGTGTTACAAGCGTTATAAGTTCTTCTTCTCAGTGGTATGCACTCAAATTATAAGTTGCATGGAATATGAAACTTTGCTAAAATTATAATATATCTTCAGTTGCATATTGCATTCAGTAGCCTAAGACATCGTCTGTAGTCCCATCTTTCATACGCAACACTTGTATTAAAAAAGAAAATTTTAATATTTTATAATATTAAGTATCCGTGATCGGCTTTTCTTGTTTTTGTTTAGGTAGGTTGACGTGAGAACACTTATTCATAAGGTATTTTGAAGCATCAACTAATTACTTCTGATAGTTCTGTGTTTATTATATAAGTCTTTGCTTGCTTAAACGATGTAAAGAGAACGTTAACAAAAAGAATTGAAAACATTATAATCGGCCATTAAATATTCTATCTCACTTGGTCTAACACAATTCTTCCGTTACTTTAATGATAAAATATCAAAACTTCTCTATTACTTTTATCAAAAAATGTGCCTTTCATGGAACCTTTTATATGGGAAAGGAATCACATCGAGAACTAGCATGGTTTAAATTTAGCAGTGTTAGTTTTTATAGCAAAGATCTTATTGCTTTGTTTTTTTATATCAGTCTTCTTCTTAAGTTAGTAAAAAATAGATCTTGTTGCCATACAATGGCTTACTCTTCATATTGAATAAGCCGAAACCGTATTACTTTGCGATTTTTGTCAGGATAATGTAAAAATTGTAATTTTTTTCACGTAATGATTTTTTAAAAGTAAAGACTTATCTCGGGATTGGTTCGTAAAAATTTTCTACTCTAATCTATTTTTCACAAAGTTCGTGCTCGATCCAAGACACATGCGTATTCGTCATAGCAAAAATTGTGATATTTAGATTGAACATAAAAACGAAAAGTCCGACGTTTGGGTAGGCGGACAAACGGGCTTTAAAAATGATGAATTGATTAGTGTAAGAAAATATGAGTTTATTTTAATCACTTCCGAGTGCTACATACATGCTTATAAACTTCACATATTTTTAGAACAATTGTTGTAGAATAGAACTATTTTCGCTGGATATACGATTAAATCGCGTTATTTCTTCACATGTAAATATTTGAAAAAAACGTGATTTTTTGGTAATTCATAGCTGGAAATGTAATAATACCAATATATACCGAAAACACTTAAAATACATTTGATGTAAACAGTTAAAATAACAATAATTATACACTTTCAATAAGCTATGTACTTTTCTAATATTCAAATTGAGTTATCGCAGACCTTTTTTTTTTTCAATAAACTGGATGAATCTGCAAATGCACATAAAAAGTCGAACGAGGTTTGTTTGCCTAAATGAATGAAAGATAGGTTGGCAAAATTTGCTTGGCACATTAAGCAATGTTCAGCACAATTTACTGAATTATTTTTGAAGCATAGATGCAACACGCCGACATTATATAAACATTTTTAACCAAGGTGAAAAACGGATTTCTCTTTTAAATATGACTATTTATCATCTATCTATCTCTTACTATCGCGATTATGAAACGGGACTTGTTCATGCATAAGCACCAGTCAATCTAGATATCGGATATACCGGGTTAGCGCATTTATCGGGCGGAAAATCATGTGCAGAGTTTGTCCGCGTACTGTTCTGTCCACTATGGATAAACTATACTTCAACTGAAATTGAATTCTATACAAGTACAAGTCAAAAAACGAATTGTCCGTTCGATGTAGGATACATTTTTGCTTTTAATAAACGCATAATTCAAAATGATCCCATTATATGACTCATTTTTCTCCAT